TGTGGGGGAAGCTGTGTGAGGGAGGCTGTGTGGAGAAAGCTGTGTGTAGAAGCTGTGTGGGGGGAAGCTGTGTGGGGGAGCTGGGAAGAAACATGAACATGACGCGGTCAGATGCCGTGGCAGACGTCTGATTAAACATCTGTCTTCTTCTTTCTCTCCTTCTTTTTCCCTCTCCTGCCTACTCCAATCCTCCATATCCCGCTCGCTATCTCCATCCTCTCTTTCTTCGCATCCCTCTATATATCATATCTATCTCTGCACTTTCTTCATCACTATTTCTCCCTCTTTAACCATCTTTCTTTCCCCTTCTGTATTTCTCCCTCTTTAACCATCTTTCTTTCCCCTTCTGTATTTCTCCCTCTTTAACCATCATTATTTCCCCTTCTTTATTTCTCTCTCTTTCTCCGTCTTACCCCCTCCCTATCTACCATTCTGTCCTACATCACTGTGTATGGAAACTGTGTGGGGAAGCTGTGTAGAGAATCACTACATCACTCTCTCGAGAAAAAAATGCTATGAATAGGAAACAAGGAACGATTCACACGGCGCTCGATGGCAACTGGGAAATGGGAAGTGGAGCAAAGGGAACGTTCCCCCTAAACCCCCTCCTTCCCCTCATATCGTATTCTCAATCGGTTTATTTACCTACACACACGAGTACAGATCGGAGGGGTTGAAGAGTAGGAAGCCTGATCTAGTCTTCTTTCTACATTCTTGTTGGGCGTCGCCCTGACAACACCCGCTATTTTTATCACCAGGTGACGCAACCTTCCACGCAATGAATCCCTTCGTTTAAATTGATATGGGAGCAGGAGCGGGAGCGGGAGCGGGAGCGGGAGCAGGAACGGGAGCAGGAGCAGGAGTAGGAGCGGGAGCAGGAGCAGGAGCAGGAGCAGGAGCGGGAGCGGGAGCAGGAGCAGGAGCAGGAGCAGCAGCCGTAGCAGCAGTAGCAGCAGCAGCAGGAGCGAGAGCGGGAGCGGGAGCAGGAGCAGCAGCAGCAAGAGCAGCAGCAGGAGCAGGAGCGGGAGCAGGAGCAGGAGCAGGAGCGGGAGCAGGAGCAGGAGCAGGAGCAGGAGCAGGAGCGGGAGCAGGAGCAGGAGCAGGAGCAGCAGCAGGAGCAGCAACAGCAGCGGTAGCAGTATCCACAGCAGCAGGAGCAGCAACAGCAGCAGCAGCAGCATCCGCCGCCGCACATCATGGACCCTGAATCGCCCATAGTCATGACCTCCAGCACATCTTAGACCTATCCCCATCAGTGCCTGTCTTCCTCGCGACATCATATAGACCTATCCGCCATATTGCTTCCCCTCGACATCATAGACCTATCCTCCCATATTGTGTGCCTGGCGCGCCTCCTAGACCCGATTCCCCATATTGCTCTCCTCGCACATCCTGACCGCCTATCCCTTTGCTGTTCCACCGCACTCTAGACCTATCCTCCACATTCGCTGACCTCCGCACATTCCTGAGACCATATCCCGCATATTGCTCTCCTCGCACTCCTGCCCTATCCCAGTATTGCTGTACCCTCACATACAGCCTAGACCAATCCCCCATATGTGCTGCTCATCCTCGCACATCATGAGCCCACACATGGTCAATAATCCCCAAGTCATACTGGACATCGCACTCTAAAGACCTATCCCCATATTCCTGTCACGCTCGCATCATGTAGACTATCCCCCATATTGCTGTCCCTCGGCACATCACTAGACACTATCCTCCCATATGCTTTAACTTCGACTCGGCCGGGTATCCTCA